ACTTCATCCTGCTCTCCTACATCCCCTACGGCCTGTCGGGCAGCATGATGGGCGCCTTCATGGCCGCATACGCGTACATCGGCGACACGTCCGGCTCTCGCTCGAGGACGACGCGTCTGTCCCTCGCCGGCGTAACGATGTTCGCCGCCTCCCCCGTCGGGAACGCCCTCGGGACCCTGCTCTTCCGGTACGGCAGCTACACGCTCGTCTTCGGGGTCGAGTTCGTCGTTTCGGCTCTCTCCGCTGTCTACGTCGTCCTGCGGTTCGACGACAAGCCACCGCAGGGCGCGACGGAGGGCGGGGACCAGAGGATTTTCTCGCTGGACACCATCAAGTCGACGTTGCGGGTCGTGTTCAAGGAGCGACCGGGGCAGGGGCGTCGGCAGATCCTGGGCCACATTGCTTGCATCTGTCTCTACGTCATGTCGTATGGTAATCAAGCATTTTTATTTTTCTTGGCCGATTTGTGTAATTCACATTTAAATTATTTAAAACAAACTGAATACATTTGTTTCCTTCCATCCACGTGCGACATGAATACCATACGTTTCTTTTCATCTTTGGTTCAAAATATGATAGGTAGTAGTTTAAATGGATAAATTATATAGCTGGTTCGCAGTGAACTTTAGGCATGCATGCGCTGTGGACTGATTGCCCTCCTATCAATCTTTAATATTCACTTAAAACACTTCATAATGGCATCTAAGTTAGGCTAAGATACACCTCTGATAAAAGATTCATAAAAATCTGTCCATAAAAATTTGAGTTATCCTGCTAACCAACTAACAAACAAACCAACACTACCAAATAATAAAAAACAGATTTGTCCATAAACATAATACCTTTTATGTCCTTTTCTTCTCGCAGGCGGAACGTCTTTCCTGTTTCTTTACACCCGAAAGAAGTTCCAGTGGGATTACTTGGACTACACTCTCTATAGCATGTTCACTACTCTAGTTACAGTCTTTGGTAAACTGTCAATGCACGGAGATTTTTCTTGTTGAATGAAAATGAATCATTGTATAAATAGTTGTATGATGAACTGGGATATTCGTTTTTTTCTTACCATGCATTTTTAATGATGTCATTCTTTGCAATGTTAATACTCTTGTTGAATATTAAACTTCAACTTCAAAAAAGTAAATTCGTTAGTATAAAATCAATCATACTCCCTTTTGATACAAAAGATAAAATTACTATATTGACGTGCCTTCTCTTACAGGCACCTGCGTCGTGTTGCCAATCCTGAGTTACCGCCTGAAAATGGAAGATGGGATGATAGCCTTTATATCCAGTTCTTTGCACATCTTTTACGGCGTGATGGTGGGCACAGCTCCGGCGGCCTGGGTGCTGTATTTAGGTTAGTTGGGCGTCGTCTTGTTTTGGGATTTGTTCCGTTTTCTTTAATTTTACTGGAGCACGCGCGGGTGTATATACTAATGGATTGGATAGTTTGTTGTCTCTAGATTGTTGTGGAATTAATTGGTATGATAGTGATAAGTTTGAAGGTCGATATCGATAATACTATTTATACTATTACTATCATCATTACTGTTACTTTGGTATATCATTATCTTTATCTTGCTCTTATGATATAATCATGAACATTATCCTTATCTCTATTAATACCATCATTATCGTTACAGTTATCATTATTGATACAACCTTTATTGTCATTAATATAGATATTAATAGTACTTCTATCAACACAAACATTAGCATCATTACTACTACTTCTCTCGTGCTCATCAACCTCACCCTCACCATTACAACCAATAATCACAAGTTCCCAAAAATCAAAAGTGTGCGTCCTCAGCCGTGGCAGTGACCAGAATAACCTCCTTCGCCATTTCGTGTTCGCGCGGCGCCCTGTCCAAGCTGGTGGCGCCGGACGAACTGGGCGCCGTGTTCTCCGTCATCGGGATGGGCGAGTCCCTCCTGCCCGTCCTGATCATGCCCCTTAACACCGCCATCTACAATAGCACTCTCGACGTCTTCCCTGGCACGGTCTTCCTCTTCGAGGCTGGCACTGGCGTGGTCATCGCTGTTATCTATGTGTAATTAGAGTTCTTTGTTCGTATTTTCCGGGTTTATTTTCGACTTTTATTTACTTGACCTTATTTTTTGCAGTTGCTTTATTTCATTTGACCTTATTCTGTCTGGAAGCGGAAACTGCGTGAATTGGTTTCGGTTTTCAACATATCGTAAATTTTATCTAAACTATATCATGCGGATTTATACACAAAATCTTTTCATATTTTGTAGAGGAGAGTCTGTGATACCCAAATAACAAACAATATATTATTATATTTAGTTTTAATCTTACGGTCTTTAAAGTAATTGATAACAGTGGACAGGCAATTAGAATTCGAAAAAAAAAACAATTGACACAGATTAATACGTGTAAGATACAACAGATGGTACAAAGGCAGTGTAAACCTTAGGCTTTTTCATGAGTAGGCCTACAGCAATACACGCGAGTCTATTCCGGAGTGTTGCC